AAACAGGACTCCAGTCAGCCAACAGGTGAAAAGGAGGAACCCAGACCCAGACCAGTGGTCATTCCATATGTTGAGGGAGTATCAGAGAAACTGAAACATTTATTTTCTAAACATAACGTCCCAGTTGCTTTTAAACTCCAAAATACATTACGGCAAAGACTGGTTCATCCCAAAGATCCAGTCCCCCGGCACAAACAGAGTAATGTTGTGTATGCTGTTCAGTGTCAGGAGGGCTGTGATCAGTCTTACATCGGGGAAACAAAACAGCCACTGGCCAAAAGGATGGCCCAGCACAGAAGATCAACATCATCAGGCCAGGACTCTGCGGTCTACACTCATCTCCAGGCCAGCAGTCACTCTTTCAGGGATGAAGATGTGCACATCCTGGATAGAGAGGAACGATGGTTTGAGAGAGGAGTAAAGGAGGCCATCTTTGTGAAAAGAAACCATCCATCGTTAAACAGGGGTGGAGGCCTCCGGGTTCAATTGTCCCCCTCTTACAATGCTGTGATTGCTAGTATCACTCAGCCCTCTGTGAACAGTAACATTAACAGTGTGCTAATGATCCATTGTTAAGCTGATGGTCCTTCTTGAGCATGTGATCAGCTGGTTTTGGTTGTCAGCAGCAAAACTGGTTGATCCACTCTGAGAAGGTGCTATTTAAGAGACTGAGCTGAAAACAGCTCCTCAGACTGAGGAAGTCTTTCAGATGAGAGACGAAACGTTTCTACATTTTTTTGTTGTTTTGCTTTGTTTTATTTTTTTGAATGTCCAGAGGACCAGATTTAACTTTTTTAGACTTTTTGCTTTTGTTTTTTACCTGAATTTCCCTGAGTCCTGCTTGCACACATTGGTCTGTGACAGTCATTTTCCTTCAGAAAGTAGAGAAAAGAAACGTGTCCTAACTGGTCAGGTAATGATGGCGGCACGGTGGCTCAGTTGGTAGAGCTGTTGCCTCTCAGCGAGAAGGTTGCCGGTTCAAATCCCAACCAGGGGTCTTTCTGGGTGGAGTTTGCATGTTCTCTCTGTACATGTGGGTTTTTTTCCCAGGTACTCCAGTTTTCTCCCACAGACCAAAAACATGCATATTAGGCTGATTGGTAACTCTAAATTGTCCCTAGGTGAGTGAGAGAGTGAATGGTTGTTTGTCTCATTTGTCTCTGTGTCCCTGTGATGGATTGGAGACCTGTTCAGAGTGTACCCCAACTTTCGCACAGTGACTGCTGGATATAGGCACCAGTGACCCTCACGACCCAAAAAGGAAGAAGCAAATAAAAACGATGGATGGATGGATGGATGGATGAATGGATCTAAACATGACCCTATAGCATCATCATAAATACCTGAGCTTTTAGCTCTTCACTCTTAGATCTTTAAATAATGTTCTCCCCACACTTGAAAAGACAGAACCAAAGAAAAGAGACACAGCAGAATCTACAGAACAAACACACTTCTTCTTGTCCACAGGCATCAAATACAGTTTACTCATCCTAACTTTTGGGGATTTCTTAAGTGACTGGAGTTTATTTTATCAAACAGATCTTTCTGATAGTTTTATGACTTCTTTTAAAGAAACAATTCAGATGACATTTGTTGTCATCATAACCCTTTTCAAGCTAAGATGGTGCTGAACCTGTCTCCAACTTGATTTGTGAGAACACAATGTGTGTTATACTCCATCTGAGACAATCACCTCCAACAGACTCTGGGTGATTTTAACTCCTGGGACGCTGATGCTAGACCAACATGAGCCCTGTGGTTCAAAGGTCAGACCACTGGTTCTGCCGAGCGGTGATGTCTTCCTGGAGCTCTTCTGAGGTTTCTCGTGTGTCCAGGGGTCTCCAGCCTGTGAACGTGTAACGTCCATCTTCAGCTCTTGCATGGGCCAATGACCAGGTCTGTTAAGAACCTCCTGAATCTTGGACCTCCAGATCCTTGCTTACTCATTATGGTTTTGTGTCAAAATGCTTTAACATTTATTCTGGGTTATTAACAGATAGACCCATTAACAGCACTTTTTTAAGTTATGTTTTGAGCTAGAGAGGTCAGACTGAGATGGCTTGGACATGTCAAGAGGAGGGACAGTGCTTTGGACGTGTCCAGAGGAGGGACAGTGGTTTGGACATGTCCAGAGGAGGGACAGTGGTATGGACATGTCCAGAGGTGGGACAGTGGGTATACTGGTAGAAGGATGTTAGAAATGCAGCTGCCAGGAAAAAGACAAAGAGCAGATACATGGATGCAGTTAGAGAGGACATGGAGTTAGTTGGAGGATGCAGAGGACAAAGTGAGATGGAGGAGGATGATGACTGGCTGTGGCAACCCCTGAAGAGGGGACAGCTGAAAGAAGAAGAAGAACAAGAAGACAGAGCAAACAGAGTTTTGGAAAAGAGCCGCTGTCAGCTTCTCACTGAGAGCTGAGCCTACTTAAATGTCAGATCCTAGCATGAGTTCTGGTCCAGTTTATTTCAGAAACTGATCCAGAATCAGTGAGAATGATATAACATTGTTCTCAATTTATTCAGTAAGGATTTTGGTGTCGCACAGGTAATATCTTATGGTGGTTAATAAGTTTAAAGTTGTACCTGTATGGCAATAGGTATGAGTCCGTTGTCGGGATGTTGGTACAGGAGACAGAGTGGAGCTGCGATGTACTGAGGTTTACCCTTTATCGTGTTGGCAGGAATCCCATCCATGATGCTGTAATCTATCAGGTAGATGTTTCCTGCCTGGACCAAAGAGATGCAGATACACATGGAGGAAGTCTGAGTTTAGACCTTTGTACTTCAAAGATGTTAAACCTGTGGTACTAGGTCCAACATATCCAAGACTACTGTCTACCTTCAGTTCATGGCCCAGTGTGGTCTTTGGAGCCATGGAGCTTTGAACCATGTCTGCAGTAACAGGGAAGTTCTCTGGCAACTTTTTGCACCTGTGGATCATTCTCGGGTTGCAGCCGTTTAGACACTGGTAGCCGAAGAACCAGTCCTCCTTCCAGTGCTCCATGCAGTATTCTTGAAAATAAAGATACTCGTCTCGTCAAGTTTTGTGTGGTTGAAAGAATAAAAAATGAGCACCAGACAATCTGGGATGTTTAATGTCTGGAAAAGGTACCCTGTACTTCAGAAATAGACTTGATTAAGACAAAAACTTATTTAACTAGTTCTGTTATTTTATCAAAATATTGAATTTAAATATTTTATTAACTTTTACAAAATTTGACTTCTTGCTTTCTTGTTTTTAGTTTTCTACATCGCCTTACAACCTAGCAGTTTTTTTTGTTACATTTTTTAAAATACCATTTTATTTTCACTTGTTATTCTCAATTTGTACACGTCCTTTATGATTATCTATTGTTGTCTTTGTTGTCCATTGTTGTCATCACTCTTTATTAAAATCAGCTCTCTCTTGTAAATGAGTCCCCGAGGCTCAATGGGATTAACCTGTAGAAATAAAGGTTGAATGAATGAATGAACAAAGAAATATTAATGATTGTGACTGTGGCCATTTTTAACCGGGCAGTGCTGACAGGTAGAAGTAACACTGACACGTGGAATAATGAGGTAATGTAATAAACGTTATATAACACGAGTCTTGCTCATTGCGTTAGTGTTTGAAGTGTTACTTGTGAATGACTCTCAGCAACTACCACATCAAACTTTAGCGCAATATAGAGCTGTGGTGGCCATCTTATTCAGATTTAGATGTACTGTACATCCAATAATTACTTTTTGAGATATTTGTTAAAAATTGTCATGAAATATTTTGGCAACAGACTCATGTACAAACACTGGCAAAAACCTCATCACCCGTCTTTAATTTTTTTGCTGAGGGTGATAAACATAAATATGGATTTAAAAAATAAATATTTTTTCTTTTCAGTATAACCAGCTATGGGGCTTCTCAGTTTCCAAAAGATCCGTTTGAAGTCATCCAAGTCGCTCCAAGACCTCCCAAACGTGATGGCAAGCTTCTTCAGAGACAACTCCAGCAAACTGAAGAAAAACAGAGTTCAGTGTGTTTTAAATCACAGTAAAGACCTGCTGACATGAAGACACGTGTGTATGCACCACATACGCGTAGTGCAGTGAATGTTCAAAATCACTTCTTTTCTCATTGTCGAAGCGGACATCTTGGGGTAAATCTGCTTCTGTTTTGGCATCAATGCATCTGGGAATCCCTTTGGCCCATGTTACCCACCTGAGAAACACAAAAAAATATAAAGCAATGTATTTCACCTCTCGCATCTGAATTTTATTCTAAGATGAGAATATCCATCCATCCATTTTCTTCTGCTTATCTGGGGTCGAGTCGCAGGGTAGCAGCTTAAGTAGGGAGGCCCAGACTTCCATTTCCCAGGCACTTGGGCCAGCTCCTCCGGGGGAATCCCAAGGCATTCCCAGGCCAGTTGAGAAACATAGTCCCTCCAGCGTGTCCTGGGTCTTCCACTGTGTCTCTTCCCGGTGGGACATGTCCGGAACACCTCACCAGGGTCCAGGAGGCATCCTAACCAGATGCCCGAGCCACCTCAACTGGCTCCTCTCGACGTGGAGAAGCAGCGGCTCTACTCTGAGTCCCTCCTTGATGATCGAGCTTCTCACCCTGTCTCTAAGGGAGAGCCCAGACACCCTGCGGAGAAAACTCATTTTGGCCGCTTGTATCCAAGATCTCATTCTTTCGGTCACAACCCAAAGCTCATGACCATAGATGAGGGTAGGAACGTAGATCGATAGGTAAATTGAGAGCTTTGCCTTTTGACTCAGCTCTCTCTTCACCACGACAGATCTGTACAGCACCCGCTTCACTTCAGACACTGCACCTATCCGCCTATCGATCTCTCACTCAATTTTTCCCTCATTTGTGAACAAGACCCCAAGATATTTGAACTCCTCCACTTGGGGCAGGACCTCCTCCCTGAACCGGAGAGGGCACTCTACCCTTTTTCGGCTCAAGACCATGGCCTTGGATTTGGAGGAACTGATCCTCATCCCGGTTGCATCACACTCTGCTGTGAACCGTTCCAGCGAAAGCTGTAGATCATGACCTGATGAAGCCAATAGGACCACATCTAAAAAAGTTAAATCTGGTCCTCTGGACATTCAAAAAAAAACAAAACAAAGCAAATCAACAAAAAAATGTAGAAACGTTTCGTCTCTCATCCGAGAGACTTCCTCAGTCTGAGGTGCTGTATTCAGCTCAGTCTCTTAAATAGCACCGTCTCAGGGTGGATCAACCAGTTTTGCTGCTGACAACCAAAACCAGCTGATCACATGCTCAAGAAGGACCATCAGCATAACAATGGATCATTAGCACACTGATGGCTGTTTACTGTTCACAGAGGGCTGAGTGATACTAGCAATCACAGCATTGTAAGAGGGGGACAGTTGAACCTGGAGGCCTCCACCCCTGTTTAATGATGGACGATTTCTTTTCACAAAGATGGCCTCCTTTACTCCTCTCTCAAACCATCGTTCCTCTCTGTCCAGGATGTGAACATCTTCATCCCTGAAAGAGTGACCGCTGGCCTGGAGATGAGTGTAGACCGCAGAGTCCTGGCCTGATGATGTTGATCTTCTGTGCTGGGCCATCCTTTTGGCCAGTGGCTGTTTTGTTTCCCCGATGTAAGACTGATCACAGCCCTCCTGACACTGAACAGCATACACAACATTGCTCTGTTTGTGCCGGGGGACTGGATCTTTGGGATGAACCAATCTTTGCCGTAATGTATATTGGGGTTTAAAAGCAACTGGGACGTTATGTTTAGAAAATAAACGTCTCAGTTTCTCTGATACTCCCTCAACATATGGAATGACCACTGGTCTGGGTTCCTCCTTTTCACCTGTTGGCTGACTGGAGTCCTGTTT